AATTATTAATTATTAAATAATAACTATTAATTATCAACTATTTTAAAATAGTTAATCCAAACACTCCCATAATATTTTTTTTTATTGTTATGAAAGAATGTTTTGTTGTCAAGTGCAATTTGAATTAATACTCACAATATCAAGATTGTAAGGCCATTATTAATTATCTATTATTATAATTTTAATTAACATTTTTTATATTATAGTTATGAAAAAAATATTTTACCATTTAAATAAAACATTAACCGTTTGATGGAGGTTAGGCCCCCTGATATTGGGGGCTCTCCCCCATTAGATGATTTTTGTTTAAAAAATATATCGGGCCCTCCCCCTAATATTAGGGACCCAACCCTATCACTCGACACAGCCTCTTGTATTATTCAAAACTTTTATACTATTTTCTTTGTTAGAATTGAAAAGATCTTCAAATCGTAAGTCATTTTACTATAATCGAATCTGATAAAAAATAAAATCCTAAAAATTCTCTTAATTCCTCTTTCAATTCACATTCTTAATTATAAAATTAAATTTAAGAATAAAACTAACAAATAATTAAAAAACTTATCGTAAAATTTCCTCAATTTAACTAATCCAGCAACTACAGGACGGAAGCCCCTTTCCATTTGCTTTCAGAAGTGGGCGGTAGCATTTCAGAAGTTCTACCAACGCCTAAACCGTTTCCTATTTAGGTTTTAGTAAAAAAATGTTTATAATTCTTTGGTTAGGCCTTTCACTCTTAATTCCTTTATAGTTAAACCCCTTAGTTCGCTCTCTTTTCATTTAAATACTTTAAGGGCTTAATTAAAATTATTTAAAAGTTATAAAATAAATAAATAAATACCAGATATTACAACAATTAAAATTATTTGTGACGAAATAATTGGATACAAATAGTGTTTCTTTTGAAACAACTATATTATGTCAAAAAAAAAAAACCAAAAAAAGCAAAATTTTTTAATGTGATACAAAAAACCGTTACAAATTTTTTTGTGACAGAAATTTAAGTTTTGTCCTCATTTATAAAAAAAAAAGTTCACTAACAATAAAATTTAAAAAAAAATTAATACAATTTTTAATATAAAACTAATTCTTATTATTTTCAAATATATATTTAATTCAAATAATAATAATTATTATTATTATAAAATATTCAAAGGCCAATAATAAAATTATTTAGCCCAAGTCCAACACTTATTGGCTTTAAAAATTTGACTAATATATTTTAATTCTTTCTTT